GCCAATGAATGAATTGCGGATGAATACAACCGAACTTACTTTCATACCTTTTCTCACCTCATACGTACATTTAGTTAAGACTAGTAAAAATCCAAAGATAGTTGTTATTTGCTTCGGAAGTATTGCGATCGAGTTGGTCAATATTGCATGCACGTATGATCATTCTTTGGTTCTGTTTGCGAGTCGCTCATGCCCATAAAAGAGGGAGAGGTAAAGCATGAAATATAAGCGCATTCGCTCTGGCCGATATGTTATCTTTGTCTCACCGAAAATTATTACCACCACATTATTTTAGTATTGGTTAGTCTGTTTATTTTAAATACTTCACTTGTTCCTTTTTGTCTACACAGACTGCACCTATCCTACCTAGATGTTCACCCTGTAGCTAGTGACTCATTGGGATGAGGCTAAAAAGCTGAATTACCTGTTGCAACTTGCATTCCATCGTTTAACCGCCGGCAATGATGTAATTCACGAGTATGGACATGCTTTGAGTGTGTCTGATTCACACTGCCATGTATCCAATCCGCCTATTGATTTTCAGGAGTAAATGTTGTACAGATTAGCGAAGCATGTACTCCCGTGTGTGTTCTGAATACATGCTCAGCAATTCGTTTACTGTGAAGTGCTAGTCGCTCGGTTTGAGCATTTCCACACAGATTTTCGGTACCGGCACATGCTGTCCTGTGAATGTATCTCTTTGCTTTGTTGAGTATATGACTTTTTCATTGCGTAGGTGGATGTGAATGCAGTTATGTTGTTTCGTACCGTGACATGACACATCCATTAATATCGTAAGTAGTGCATTTACCGATACTATTAATTTCTGGAGACGTGTTTAGGTCTCAACCACATATGTTTTGTATACAGGTTCTGTATGGTCACGATATTGCAAATTACGTTGATTGCTCTACATTATTTTCTTACCCTCTGTTGCTTTTATCAAATCGGTCTTGGTAGATAAATTCGGAATGATGCACTATCATGCATATCCGAGTTTCATTTGGTCTTTAGCTAATTGGAGCACTCCTGGTGCCACGGTACCACTCTCTCGTTTTCGATTTTCAGACCAAGCCTCCCAATCGAATAGTACAGACACATGATTACGTGTCAGAGCGTATTTTTGGACGCAAATAAATTTGTGGCCAATTCTACGCATTGCTTAAGTCAAATGTTACAGCTCGCCCTATCTGCATTCTATTTTCCTACCTCGTTCTAATTCTCCAACAACAGGAAGCAGAACTCAGTCGTTTGCAGAAAGCACGTGAGGCCGAATTGGCTTATATGAAAGAGATGGCTGAAATCAGACGTGCACGTTTGGATGCTGAAATGCGTGTGGAGACCACACGATTCTCGGCCATGGTTCAGTCGATCGGTGCGAACACATTGCGAGCTATGTCCACGGCTGGTCCTGAACACAATTTGCGCATGCTTACCGCACTAGGGTTGCGAAGTGCTTTGATCACGGATGGAACCACGCCGGTAAATCTGTTGAACACCGCGCATGGATTAATCGGCCAGTTAACCCAGTCCACTTCAATCCATTCACCGGAGGAGGTCGGAGAATAAACCGTTTAGTTTGTGATAATTGCTACACTGGAAACAATCGTGATGTGATGTTGACAGCTTCAATTCACTATCGATGAACCATCTCTTTTTTCTTCTTGCAACACACTGCTGTGATCATTTTTTCTCTATTCCATGTTTGGTTTTCAAGGCATGCTGTTTTAAGCATGTTTTTATCCGCTTCAAAGGTCGCACTTATCATTCTGGTTGCTCAGTTTTTATGCATCATTCTAATTCGTCAAAAGTTAACAATTGCTCATTTATCTCTCCAGTTCCAGGTGTACTATCTCCTATATATATATATATATATATATATATATATGGTAGGAATAGCTACAGATTAAGAAAATGAAAAAAGCGGAAAACAGAGAAGACGGAGAACAACTAAATAGATCATTTCAATCGTTTCATTAGTCTCACAGAACAAATTGAGAACAACAGCGTGGCGAACAAGCTCGTTTTCAGTTATTCGTAATCATACCACTGCATAACATTCAATATGACTAACAATAAGAACAAAACAGGGAATGAGAAATTCGAGTGCTAATGATTCAGCTGTGGTTCTAACCGTGCGTGCGTGTTAGTGTGAAATTGATCACGCTGTCCAAAGTTCAAGTGATTGCACGCGTGTTGGAGTGGCTGAATCATTAGCACTCGAATCTCTCATTCCCTGTTTTGTTCTTATTGTTAGTCATATTTAATGTTATGCAGTGGCATGATTACGAATAACAATAAGAACAATACAGGGAATGAGAGATTCGGGTGCTAATGATTCAGCTGTGGTTCCAACCGTGCGTGCTTGTTATTGTGAAATTGATCACACTGTCCAAAGTTCAAGTGATTGCACGCGTGTTGGAGTGGCTGAAGTGGGCCAGGGGAAATTAAGTGCTTGCACAAATTTGTTCTGGGCGCACAAGGAGAGGGGGGATTGTGAATCCGAATACTTAAGGCTTCGGCCGTGGCTAAGATACGGTGCTTCATCGCTCTTAATTGCCTGCATCGAACCTTGTAAATCAGTCGGAACGCGCTTGCCACATCTACCGAGTGATTTGACTCATTGAGATGCGAACACACCGCGCTCGTAATTGTCTTAATTGTTCCAGTCAGCCAAGCCGGGTGGTGTTCGCGAACACGATCGGATAAGCGCCTGGTCGTGCAGCCAATGTACCCAGTTATACAGGAACAGGTGAATGAATATAAACACAATGAGGCTGCAGGATCTGGCACTCTATCCTTCAGTCGGAAACACGTAATTGGTTTGGATGTGAACATACCTTTGAATTGTGCAGCGTAAAATGTTCTGCTTACTGCACTTACTTTGCAAGACTTCTTCCTCCGTATCTCCCTTGAACGGCAGGTGCAGATCAAGAGTTCCATTAAGCGAAACTCGAAAATCCCAAACCGATGAACTAAGTTTCAACTGAAATGGCGCACTCAGCGTCACGCTGCACTCACGCGAGTCCAAGCGAGCGGTCAGATCACGATTAAGACAAACAAAAAATTAAAAAATGTGGTCGAAGTGTTAATATACAGTTGGAGTAGAGATGTAAGTGTCCATGTATGTGCGCGGGGTATATAGGATGAAACATGAAATGTACGAAGTAGAGTCAAACAGTTGAAAAACAGTCACATCAATCGCGAGGCGAATTCTTGTCGTTTCTTCAAGGGACTGGAACCGGAATGAGGTGTTCGAATGACATCCAAATCAATGATTAAACGTACCGAGTGGAGTCAGTCTCTTGTTGTGTAGTGGCTACAGACCGACAGTGTAACATGCTCGAGAGTTATCACCATCTTAGGTCTGCTTGTTTCGCATCTTGGCTTTCACATGGTGGCAGGCATTGGTTGCTTGGATTATTTGCTCGTGCATCCTTCTCCTTTATAGCATAGATTACACCTGGATCGTAGATATCCTGAGACCGCTTCTTCAGCTAGGTCTTTTATCTTTCTTTTAGTCACCACCACCTCGGGTGAAGCAACTTCATTTCAAACGGTGCTTGAGTTCAGAGCTACAACTCAGGTGGCTAACCCCTTCGCTTTCAGACACTCTCGAGCGTAATCAGGTTAAACTTCTGGTACCTTTAAGGGAACAATATATATATTCCCTTGACTGATCGATTGTTCTTCTCAATACTTATCGGGATATCGAGAATCACGGGAAGTTAGAGACCTGATTACTTCACAGGTGAGATAGCATCCCCATCTCTAAAAATTTACAAAAGTTTCGAGTGTAACACAAATAAAAAAAATGTTAGAGGACGAGTAGAATTGATCCTATATCTACAGATACAACACAGCCTTCGGCTCTATTTCAGTAAAATTGGTGGACAATCCGCTGGAGATTGCACTCGAGCAATCCAGAAAACTATCTTTGCGAATTCCATGCCCATTCATGTGAACTGGTAAGGTGTTAATGGGAGGTTGACACGGGCTACTAGCATGCTATACCAGTTAATTATTGATATGTTATAAATTAACTGTGAAATACATAAACTTTAATTACGAATTCCATTTTCCAGAAGGATTATCCAAATACGGATACTATTTCCATAATAGGAAAATTCCAATGTTGGATACAGAGAATAAGACCTAGGTGAGCACATGAACCTTTGGACGTCACGTGCTTTTTGCCACCGTTTACCGGTAAGTTATCGAGAACATGTTTGTATTTTTTTATTTCAAATAACAATCATCATTGCTCAAATTAAGTGATATTCTAAATGTCGTGATTCTATTTCAGACGGCAATAAGCAGAGTGAAGATTCTGAACATGATGATCCTTTTGGTGCATCATCTTGATTATTTTTAATTATAATGATAAATCAACTTTATGTTGTTTACATTATGGTATGTTATTTATATAAGACTTTTGGGCGCCTTTTACTGTGATAATTGAAAGCTTTAGACGTACAAGTTCGCTTTGCACATTTTTTCGAGTAATTGGTATAAAAAAGATGGAGGGACTTCATGGTGATATTGATTGACAATAGAGAAAGTTCGGGAAGGTGGAATTTTAAAGCTCAATGTTTACGCGTATAAGTGATACGGAAGGAGTTATATGCAGTTAGATGGAAACGAGGATGAAGTTTTGAAAATAACTAGCTTAAGGGGAGGTGTTGAGTTTAAATTTGTAATACGTATTACCTATCAACAAATGTTCGGGCGGCCACTGAGTACACTACAATTTTTTCATTGTGACGTGCAGGGTTTCACTCAGGGGGGGGGGCATTCATGAATCTCTCAGCTGTCATTCAGTGGTATACTGTTGCTTCTTGGTTTATGCGGATAGCAAAATTGACTGGGGTCAGTTCAGGGTGAAAACTCACTGGTTTGACTAAAGAAATATTATATACTATAATACAGGTACAGCAAACCTTTGATTATCTACCGACCTGCTCTATAAAACGAGAATCAATCGACAAATTATTTCATTAGCATAAAAAGCCACATACGGGAGCTCATGTGCTCTATCGATTATATCTGATATAATGAGATGCATCAAGTGCGATTTTCTCGAGGAATATGCTGAGTTCCATTATCTCAAACAATCAAATAAAGAAGGCAGAAAAACGATTTCGCTTAAGATGGTTGAAATCCTAGCTATCTTCACTCTGGAACTCGGGACAGGGGAAGAGAGAACTGGGACCGGAATAAACATTGAAGCCAATCACCTCACGGCTGGGTAAGCTTAAGCATATTAGGCAGTACTCTTTAGTTAGAGGGGCTTGAAAGCTCAATGGTAGTATGCACAGAGTTAGACTAGTGCTTTACCATCGGTGTTTCTTATTGCTGTCGTAATCGAGGGGCAGCATAAAAACGTATAGCTGTACATCCTTGTTAACTATAATAATGGCTCACTCCCTGTTTACAGGGCTGATCAGCGACCAAGTGCTACCATTTGCACCTGTTACCCGTATAATTTACGGTTCATGTTACTGTAAAACCCTAGGAGACATCGCCACTTAGCTTCCTCTATTGGGCGTGTATTGGAGTTGTTTAGTTCATCCTGTAATGATGGGTGCAGAAGTACTGGAATAAAATGGAAAAAGAGCATAATCCAAAGAGAGGGGGTGGTATACATGTTTTGTAGAACCCCTTCCTCCACGTCGGTGTCAACAAACTAGTTCATCACTAATATAGCAGTAGCTTATAATACGAAAACGATTTGAACTTCACTAAAGGGCCTGTAGTGACTCCGTTTCGTCACTCGTGTTTTACGTCACGTTTCTTTTTGTTTTACTGAACGTTGACGCGCGTTAGACCCACACACTTCCACCTTGGTCGTCCAACGCACCGTGCGACGCCACTGTGTTTCACAATCAAATACAGTGCCTTTGTCCAGGTCTCAAAGTCTGCCCTCTGTTTTGCATACGTTGGCTGTTGAGATCACCCTGTCGTATTGGTTTAACGTTACGACTCGTGGGGAGTGTCCGGCGGTCCGTAATACCGTCTATTTAACTAACCAGGGCCACGCGTGGACGGAGCCAGTGCACCTTACAAATTGGTGAGCCCGAAGTTTCCGTAAGTTTAAGGATCACTGGTGAGTCCATCCCTGTACCAACAACTTCCTCTTTTATTATTATTGTTTTTTGGGCCTGATAGTAAGCCTGTTTATTTGGTTTTCCCCACATTTTGCTCATATATCACGCATATACGTATATATATTTTGTTTTCAACATTATGAGTTCCGATAGTATATTGGACCCAGCTTCAATCCCCGAGCATGAGTCCATCGTAGCCGGCGTGGTTACTCGCCTCCCAGATTTTTTCGCCGCCAGCCCCCTTTTCTGGTTCCGGCTTCTCGAGGTCGAATTCGAGAATGCTGGCATTACTGCCGATCGTCACAAGACGAATTGGACAATCAGTAAGCTGCCCCAAGATGTAGCCTGGCAACTACAGGATGTCATTATGGCCCACCCCAAGTACTCCGTCCTCAAAGAGGCCGTGATTAAACGGACCTCTCCGTCCGACGTTGAGCGAGTGCGGCGTCTTTTTAAAGATCT